ATTTTTTTCTGACTTTGAATATTCCAAGTTGATTGTTTTAAAATGACATTTCTGTATTTGAAATGGCTTTAGTATTTATGTATTTTTAACATCTCTTTCTCTTGCTGACTGTGACTCTCTGGATGAAGTCCAGGTCAGTCGCGTCAGCCAGCTCACATTCTGCCACCTGCTTCTGTGGATAAACACTGAATGCATTCTTCTAAAAGAACAGGCTTTCTTTCATTTACTCTGTGTACCTTCTTTAAGACGTTACCTCTCAGAGCAGGTGTCCTGACACATGGCGCTGGTCATTTTGCGGAAATCATAAAGAATGGTCCCGCCGAGTGCGTGCTCCGTTTCATTGTTTATAAAACATCCGATGTAGGTCCCTTGTTGAGAATGATTCAGAAACAATTTAGAATAACTATAAAAAATCTCCAATTTAAGATGGTTATTTTATAAACCATTACCTTTTTGTCTGTCTTTCTTGCGTGACAGATTATGTTCAGAAGAGCTTTTCTGTTCTGCATTATCATGGAACCAGTGGCGTCTCAAATGCCTGATCTCCAGATTACGAGATATGAAGTGTTTTTGGTCCTTTCTTCTGTCTGTCTGATCACGAGGTTGGTTCTCCATCACTTGGATGACATTCCTTCTGTACAACCACCTGGCAGCAGGTAGCTCCAGGGATCTAGGTGGCGCTGGTAGTGAAGGTAGCGCCGCGGTATCTGTTTCTCTCTGAAATGTTAGCACACTGGAGCGCTGAAGCAGTAACACGCTTCCTGCCATGATGTAAGCCACACCCAGAAAAAACAGAAGCAACTGAGCCCGCCTTAAAAAGTGCTGTAGTCTGTAGAACGGCTTGGCCATTCTGGTTCAGACCATTCAGATGGATGTCAAACAATTCTTTTACTTATACAGGACAAATAAATACAAGATTGTATATTCTAGGCAACATCCTGATCTTCATCCTTTAGAGATTTAGCTCCTGGTGTCTACAGCATCATGAGTTCACAGGACCTAAAATAAATAGAAACGGCTGTCAGGATGAATACAGGATCAGACTATTAAATAAACCAATGTTCCCCTTTAGATTCTAGCCATTTACTCAGATCTGAACAGTTAATATAAAAAAATAAGTGAACCACTTTTTTTCTGTAGATGCTGAGAAGGCTTGTTGTGACCCAGAAGAGGCTTCAGCCCT